TACGTAATAATAACGATGTTTATATATATATGTATACATTTAAATAATTTAAACAATTGAAGAACGAATAGGTATTATAAACTATATTTAATATTAAACTTCTGTTTTTTGTAAATGAATCTTTCTTATAATAAGGCTAATCGATTTGTTTGTCTCTCTGTGACCCGCTCAGGCTTTCCCCCGAACATCCAAAGAAGGCAAAAGAGTAACCTCATAAAAATAGGTGGTTTATATAATTCGTACTTACATGATATTTCACATAATTTATTACATATTCGAAAATTGCTTGACCTAAAAGTTTAGGTATGATAGCCAACCCACATAGTACAAGATATCCAATGGACATCCTTTGGACATCCTGTCCTGTGTGAAAAGAGACGTCCTATTTAGGTTATTCTCGGCTTAGCCAGGCCGAACGGGTTTGGGACATCCATAGAACTTCAAGTCTAGACCCGGTCTGGCTTAGCTTTATTAGGCGCATATGTACCAACAAATGTAATTACCCAATTGGATCCTTTGGCAAAACATGAAAATGCAACGATTTAGTTCTTGAATTTTATTTACAATTAAAAACACAATAATTCACCATGATCCCTTAGATAAAATACTCACACTAACGTAACTATATAAGCATTTAAGCGTTGAGTTTCTTTGCAACGTAAAACACAAATAACGTGCGCGATTTAGCTGTGCAATTGAACAAATTTTGTCGAGTAAGACTTCTGCCTTCCCCTCTTTTGTAAAAAAACTACCTATTTATTTAAAAATGATGTATAGTTCGTATGCTTTAAATGTAGTGTTGACAATTCTTAAATTCACGCAATGCTTTTGAAGTCCACCAGATAGCGCGCGCGTTGCGAAAACCCAATACTTCTTTAGCGTATAGCCTAATAAAAGAAGAATATATCGTCACCGTTCTGGCAAAAGTCATTAACTCCATTTTTGTCTAAAAGTAGTAAACTACCTTCGCGATCATAGAACAATTATATCTGTGGTCTAGAAAAACTTATTAAGTGCAGTATTGTATTTTTAGCATGCAACAGTCGTTGTCGCTTTTAACTAAGTTAAAATTCTATTTTCACTTAGCAGGCAAAAGTTCATAAGAGTATTTTTTTCTTAAAACTAACATTTAGGACTTAATGAATTTTTCCAGAACGGGGACGATATTTGACAATTTTGATGCAAAAATAATATATTACTATTATTATTATTATTACATATAGCTTATCTGGGCATAATCAAACTCGCTACACTTAACCCTTCTTATATTTATCATAATGGAACTTATTTTCCATTATCCCTTCTCATCTATTACATTCCAAATATTTACATCCATATCCTCTTTAAATTACCAAATCCATATTTTAATAAATTACCTACAATTTTTCTTATAAAAACAGTTTCGTGATTTGTCCCGTCCCTATCCTTAAAATAACCGTTTAGTTAAATATTTTTGATTTTTTTAAATGGCAATAATGTTTCAATAATCGAAACGCCTTTTTTAAGAAGAAACGAAACTGAAAAAAGACAGATATTGGGCAGTCGTCCAACGCCAAAAATTTCATCAATATTTAACGATAAGAGTCAAGGTAAGCAATATATATTCATGAATTTTTCAAATATCTTAATTTAAGATTCTTAAAGTTTTAAATTATTACGAAACAACCCCAGTAGCACAAAGATTGGCCCAATATTCGTAATAATATTGGGCCAATATATCTTTCGTCAGATTTTTTCTAGCATGGTCCAATATTGAAACCCAACATTGGCCCGAAGTGGTTTGACATTATATAACCGATATTGGAAATCCGCATTGGCCCGAAGTTGTTTTACATTATTTTCTAGGAAAGTTAAGGGAGAAATTGAAAGAAAAAAAATTTCCACCTAGTACTTACCACGTTGTAGGATTTCTAAAAGTGAAATGTCACGGGGGTTACTTGATATAAAATGTACCCTCCCTTTTGTGCTACTGGGAAAATTTAAATAATTGTTTTTGAGTTTCGCAATTTGGGTTAAGATTGATTTGATATTTTCTTTGTTTTGTTTTTTTTGTTTCTTTATTTATAATGGTTTAGTAGGGCTATCGGCCATTTTAAAAAAGGTCAACGTGTTGCAAAATAATACCTCCCGGGTGACGTGGAAATTTATTCGTATTTAGACAAAATTAACCTCATGTAGCCTCACCCTTCTATACACCCACGAGCCGCCACTGTATCCATTGAACACAAAAACTTAATATAAAAGTAATCTCCTTTTTGCATTCAAGCGGCGTAATAATGCGCTCTTCTTTATAAGGAAATACTGAAAGATTCATTTTCTCTTGGGACATCTTCTAAACGAAATATTTCCTTCCAGCAAACATGGAAATACCTCCAACAAACCTGACACACACCCTCCAGCAGGACTCCAAGGAAGAACCCAACAACACCCTAACGTTCGTGATCGGTTTCGGGGTCCTGATCCTGTTCCTTGTTATGGGCATCGCGGCCAGCGCGTTCCTCTGCTTGACCCTGAAGAAGGATTCGTATCTGTGGGAGAGCGAAATCAACAGGCAGTTGCAGGAGAAGGCGAAAGAGAAGGAGAATGCGGAACCGAACGCGAAGGAGAGAGACAAAGGGATGGGGGACGAGATTTCTCTGCAAAGCACTCAAGTTTAGGATATAATTAGTTTTCTATTTTTATTTATTGTTAATGGTTTTGTTTGATTGAGTTTTTCAATTTGTTTTTGTTTTTTTGTGACGTGGCTGTACCTTACTACGGTGTGCAATATAAAATGAGACTTTTGAATTTGCAGTTTTATTTTACAATGTTAAACAATTTTTTAACTAAATAGTTTATAAAAACTTTTTTGTTATTAGGTTTGCGGATATGGGGGTAGCATTTTTGGAATCTTTAAACATTGTTTAAAAGATTCCTTGTTAGTTATTTAACATTTTAATAAAACAAATGCCTAATTGTAACAATTTAATAATCCTACAATATTTTAATTAACAATTTTTATTAGTAAATGTTCAGTGTCCTCCATGTACAGGGTGATCCCCTATAATGTCGCCCCCCTTTAACTTTTTTATTTTAAGTGTCCCAAAAAATTTAAAAGTGTGGTTATGTAGGTACTAAAAAATACTTTTTTCTACGTATAAAGAAAATTGGAAAATTGATCAATATGCAGGGAAAAACAAAAAGTTTATTTTTTTTCAATGGATCACCCTATATATGAATTTATTTTTCGATTCCTTGTAAAATTCTGAGCATAATTCATATAATAACCATATACCTAAATTCAACTGTTTCTGAAATATTCGCATTTGAAATGTTATCATTAAATGTTTTTTTAAACTGTTAGAAATCGAGAAGCCTCAGTATACCAAAATTTTTATTGAAAATAAATTACTATAGTGAAATTATGTCAATATGTCTTGTTAAATAAGTAAAAATGGCGTACTCAGACAGAGAAAGACAAACTATTTCAACTTATTATCTTAAAAATTATTTAAATATTTCAGAAAAGGTTGAATTTAGGTATATGGTGTGTTATATGAAATATGCTTAGAATTTTACAAGGAATCGAAAAATAAATGCATATATAGGGTGATCCATTGAAAAAAAATAAACTTTTTGTTTTTCCCTGTATACTGATCAATTTTCCAATTTTCTTTATATGTAGAAAAAAAGGCGACATTATAGGGGATCACCCTGTACATTCAAGCATTTCTTAATTCTCTTCTACATTAGACGTTGCTCTTCTTGACTGGGCCCAATATTAGAAATTGTTAAGTATCTCTGAAATTATTAAATTTAGGTAGGTATAGGGAATATTTACATGAATTTAAATGTTTTTTAATTTTTTATTTGATTATATTAAAACATAAAGGGGGTGTTACGTTTAAAATAAAAAATTATTAACGTTTCAAGCCTAATTTGCCATGGTTTATCTTAAGTAATTTGTTGAGATATGTTAAAAAATTGACATTAAATCTTTTAAACAATGTTTTAATATTCCCAAAATTCCACCCCTTTAACCGCAAACATAATGACGACAAAGTTATTGGCCTTTTTTTGATGACGCGCATTTGTCAAATTTTAACGAAAAAAATTAATAACTCGAAAACTATTCACTTTAGGTATAGGTAAAACCGGAAGTGGCATTTAGTTCAAAATATTTTAGAAAAATATACTTAATTGAAATATAAACGCTTTACAAATTTCAAATCGATATATTTTGCCGTTCCCCGTATATTCTTTTAAATTCAAAAATTCATTAAAAGTCGACCTGATTTAATCTACTTTGACAAGTCATTTAATTGTCAAAAATAAAAAAAGTTAGGTTAATTAGTTGTCAAAGTGTAAAAAATCTTATTGGCGAGTTTATAATAAACTTTATTATATCCAACCTTAACTTTATTATTTTAATTTACTTATTGGAAATATTGGATTATATTTTTTGGAACCTCGGAAAATGCTGACTCTGGAAGAGGCTCGCTACGTTCCTGATTATGTAAAATATTTTTTTCAATGTCTATTTTTTTATTTTTCTGGTATTTAACGTCTATTAATTTTTCTACGTTTTTTGTTCTATGGAAAAACAAAAGGCGCGAAAGAAATGTCAAAAAATTAAACGTCAAAAGTTGACAGTTCTTAGTTGTTTTACATTTCCACGTAAAAAGTAGATTTAAAGTATAAAATAAAAAAATTTAAATTGAAATAAGGTAAAATTAAGAAGAATGGACAAAAATCAAGCTTAAACTGTAAGTAAATGATATATTTTTGAATTTTTATGTATTTATTTAAAAAAAAATGGTCATTTTGTGTTTGTGTTAAAGTTTGTTTGTGAAAATATTGAAGGTGGTGGTAGTTTTATAGATTATAACGTTTGTTGTAGGTATCTAGCAACCATGGACGTTTTTCTTTAAAACAACCATTCAAACGTGTGTCAAAAGTGTTAGTTTTTTAAGCATATTTTAATATATTGTTATATTGATGAGTGTTGTTAATATTTCTAGATTTTTGAGGGTGACGTTTTCAGATTAAGCATCAAATGAATTGTCATTGCGTGTAATAGTGCAAATACCGACAAAAAATGGACCAATCCAGACCGGACAACCCCCCCACCCAGCAGCAGAACGTGCACCTGCACATGCACCACGTGTGCAACTGCCAGACGGGCATCTACCCCCCGGCCGCGGCCGCCGCCGCCGCCTACTACCCGGCGGCGGCGGTCGGGTACCGCTCCCCCGTCCCCCAGCTCATGCCGTTCGCCGCGCCGGCCCGCCCCTACCTCCAGCACTACCAGTACACGCAGTTCAACGTCGGCGGGCAGTACGCGCTGCCGCTGACGCACGTGTCGCCGCAGGGCGCGGCCGTTTACGGGGGCGTCGCCGCCGCCCCCGCCCCCAGCGCCGAGATGCTCTTCAACCCCGCCCGGGCGGAGCGGAGGGAGCGCGAGGCGGTCGAAGACGCGGGGGAGGACAGGGTCAACGAGCCGCCGCTCGGGTACGACTACGGGCAGGTCACGCCGCCCGCCAACGAGCTCCTGATGTCGGTGAGTCCAGCAGACCATCCAGCTTTTGTTTTAAATGCGCAAGGTTTGAAGAGCACATCTTGATTTGATTCGGCAATGATTTATTCCAGGATAACTCTGATAGTGCCTCGACGGAAAATTTCGTGAAATTTTTGGAAAGAAGTTGTCTGACTGCTGAGCAGATTGCGTACAGAAATAGAAACAGACCGTGTTTTAGGAACATTCAAAACTTGTGCATAAGAACCAGATCGGAGATTTTGAAACCTTGTACCACGCTGTCCAACATTCATTCACAAGGTAGGTTGTACCTAATATTAAACTGGTCTAGGATGGTCCAAAATTAAAAGTTTGTGGTGGTTCTTCACTTTTGTATTTTCATTCAACAATAGGAACATCAAATTAGGCAATTTTGGACGTTTTAGGTTTATTACCATCATTTTTTTGCAACCGATCTTCTTGTTTAGATAACTTTTTAGCATAGCTAAGAGCTGAATACCGCTATAGAAAGCTTTAATTCCAAGTAGACCTTCATTCCAATATCTTACATAACCCAAGCTCACACTTGTTATTTCAGAAGGAGACTCAGATGGCTGTAAAATTTTCCCTTTCTTCACATTTATTTTAGGACTCTTTTTCGTTTTCTTCCCGCTGTCTTTCCATTCCCTTGCTGTAGGTGCTTTTAAGGTCAGCACTACTCATCCTATTTGAAAAATCTTATCTTTGCTTTAAAGGAAAACTTTGTCGTCAACGTTCAGAGTTTCTTTCGCAGCAACATTAAACATATTACTTCTGAGCATATTCTCACGTAGAGTATTATTTCAGAAGAAGACTCAGATGGCTGTAAAATTTTCCCTTTCTTCACATTTATTTTAGGACTCTTTTTCGTTTTCTTCCCGCTGCCTTTCTATTCCCTTGCTGTAGGTGCTTTTAAGGTCAGCACTATAGTGCTATACTCATGCTATTTAAAAAATCTTATCTTTGGTTTAAAGGAAAACTTTGTCGTCAACGTTCAGAGTTTCTTTCGCAGCAACATTAAACATATCACTTCTGAGCATATTCTCACGTAGAGTATTATTTCAGAAGGAGACTCAGATGGCTGTAAAATTTTCCCTTTCTTCACATTTATTTTAGGACTCTTTTTCGTTTTCTTCCCGCTGCCTTTCTATTCCCTTGCTGTAGGTGCTTTTAAGGTCAGCACTATAGTGCTATACTCATGCTATTTAAAAAATCTTATCTTTGGTTTAAAGGAAAACTTTGTCGTCAACGTTCAGAGTTTCTTTCGCAGCAAAACATTAAACATATCACTTTTGAGCATATTCTCACGTAGAGTATTATTGAGGAGGAAAAAACTTCTGTATATCGAGTTTTATTAAAGGTTTTATTACAATTGCTTTAATGAGGTTGTAACAGCTTTCATAAATCCTCCTCTGACACATCCATAAAGCTAAATGGTAGTTAAGTGAGCTTTATGGTGTCCTTAGACAAAGAGGTCGATAATGATAGTTAGCATGTAAGCAGTATTTTTGCCGTAGTATATACAATATTGCTTTGATTTAGAATAATAATAAAACTATTAGGTATCTCAAGAGTAAAGACTTAAATATTTTATGAAGACCAAAGTACAATTTTAAATTAAATATACTTGTATGTAGTTTACAATAATATTTAAATGCAATAGTTCTTCATCCTGGGGTGATATTTTAATGCCACCACCACATTTTTTATGAAAGTCAATGAAGTACTTTTTAAAAACAAATCGACCTTCGCAACAAGCTAATTTTGCAACAATTTATCATTTATCAAAGTTCGTTTCCAAGGAAGGGCATTTTAATCAAAGTTAGGTATAATAACCTTGCAAGAATTAGTTTTGTTGTTAAAAATGCTTTGCTTAAATGATTATAAAATACCTATATACTTTAATTAATTCATATTAGTTTTTTTAATTAATTTTAATTAAAATAAGCTATTTTTTAGAATAATTTTAGCAAAACATTTTTAAGTACATTTGCAAGTGCAAATTAGATTAACCTAAATACGACACAACCTATGATAGCGGAGCCAGATGTAGTAATTTGGTTTTAAATCTAAAATGTATTTTAATGTATTGCCATCGAGACAAACTGCTCTTAAGAAGCTAGCACATAGAAGTATAATAAAACATACTTTTTAACCCTTAAAACCAATATACTGTCAAAAAGCTAAATAAACCTTAAGGGTCTTAAGTAAATATGGTTTTATAAGGGTATAAATGACATCCCATAATAAAGCAAAGTTAAAACTGTAATAGGCGTTATGGTTTTAAAAGTAGGTTTTATTTGTCTAATAAAGCTTTTTATTGAAGTAATATGGTTCTAAGAACAATTAACCTTTGTGATAACTCGTCGTTTCAAAGAGTGTGATAAAGTTTTGATATAATATTTAGGTAAAACTCAAGAGTCACATGCGTTACTTGGGGTTTCTACTACAAAACAATGTTTTTGAAAACAGAGTCAAGCCACGTCAAGTGGGACCAGAAAATTTCACGAAATCACCGATTTTAAAAATAATCACATTATTGTGTAGTAGGCATGACTCATATGTAACAGTAAAAAGAATTTTTAAAAATTCGTTTTTTTTGGTAATGTTATTAAAGTTTATAAATTTGTCAAACATTAGAGCACAGTAAAATTGAAAAAATAGAATCTCTGGGACCACTTTGTATAATTAAATTAAATTAAATTTTACACACTTTTGTAAAAATGTTTAGACTATTGAATGATCATTTAATTAAGGTAAATTTATTTAAATAAAATAATTTTGCATACATTTATTATAAACAATTAAAATTTTGTATGTGTTCTTCACGCTCAAAAAAAATTAATTTTTTGTCATAATATGCGGCAAACCTTCCCGTTTAATAAAATGTACTCAAAAATTTGTCCTTCATATGTCATTCCCGAGATATTAAATTTTTTGTCCCGCTGTGCGTTTGATCAGTAAGCAGCGCGCTTCGCTGCTAACTCGTCAGCACAGCTTTCCGTTAACTACGGTTAAATGTCGTTCATTGACAACTTTGTTTTTTTTCTTCATTGTGTTAAAAATGAAGAAATTTCATTTTTTTTTAATAACTTTTTTATTTTAAAACGTATCGATTTGAAGTTTGGACAAAATGTGCGCTGGTGATAATTAAATTTAAAATTTAACAATTTTTAAATAAATTAAGTAAAGTAAATATTCAAATATTTTATAAATTTGAGTATAACACGTTGAAGTATTGATATTTGACTATTATTTGATGCATTCACTTTTTTATGCAAATGATGTTTCTGTTGCCAGGATCAGTTTTGAATTAGCAGTAGCAGTATTCATAAATGTTTAGTTTAGTACATTTTGTCATTTTTATAGCATAACACATAAATGACATTTAATATACAGTGTGTTTCAAGTACGTAGTACGTTAGAAGATTTTAGGGCTTAAAATTTTAATAGCGTAAATTATTCGATTTAGACTTTTTTCCTAAATTACATATTTTGAACAAAATAATACTTTCTGTTTTACCGGTATTTAACTTTATTATTTTAGACATGGCACCTCTATACCATATCCTATACCTAAAGTCAATATTTTTCAAGAAATATTTTAATTAATTTTAAACAATCACAGATTAAATGGTAACCATGGATACTGTCACATTAACACACATGTAGAATTAAACAGGTTTTTTGATACAAAATAGTATTGAAAATATTAGAAATTGTTAAATGTCTCTGAAATTTTAACTTTAGGAAACATTTATTATAATATCAATCGAAAGATTCTTTAATTTTCTATTTGATTATGTTATAAAACATGCAGGGTTTTACATTTATAATAAAAACGTTATTATTGTTTAAAGTTGCCTAATTTCAAATGGTTTTTTTCAAGCTATTTGTTGAAAAACCTTTAAAAAATTAAATTATTTAAACAATAATTTAATATTTCAAAAATTTCAACCCTATGAATTACATAATTAAATATATGTATATAATAAATAAAATTAATATCATAAATACTATTGACTTAGTCTAAATCAAATTATATACGCTATTAAAATTTCAAATCCATATCGTTTGCGTTTCTCCAAAAACACCCTGTATAGCATTATATTAAATATAAAAAATGCAAAATAACTAACGATTTTTCGATTTTTTAACCCTTAAAAAATGGTTAAATTGTCCCCAGCGCCCCCTGCAGGTTAATATCTAAAAAAATACGTGGTTTTTTTCCAATTTCAAATTGATACGTTTTTAAATAAAAATGTTATTACAAAACATCGAAATTTATCTATTTTTAACACAGTAGAGTGACTTAAGGCCTGAAAACCTGAAAACCACACAATGGATACAATTTTTTTTAAATGCACCATTTAAATGTAGAAACAACGTTAAAATGTATTCAATTCTGGCATCACTTGCAAACACATGTCCAAAATTTGTTCGATTTTTACGCGAAACCTTAGTTAAAACGTTAGAACGGACGAGCTAGCAACGAAGCGCGCCGCGTACTGATCAAGCGCACAGCGGGACAAAAAATTTAATATCTCCGGAATGACATATGAAAGACAAATTTTGGAGTATATTTTATTAAACGGAAAGGTTTGCCGCATATTATGACACAAGATTAATTTTTTTCAGCGTGAAAAACACATAAAAAATTTCAATTGTTTATAATAAATGTATGCAAAATTCTTTTATTTAAACAAATTCACCTTTATTAAATGATTATTCTATAGTCAAAACATTGCTACAATAGTGTGTAAAATTTAATTCAATTATACAGGGTGGTCCCAGAGATTCTATTTTTTTAATTTTACTGAGCTATTAAGTTTTACAAAATTATTAACAAAAAACCGAATTTTAAAACAATTTTTTACTGTGACATATGCGTCATGCCTACTACACAATAATGTGATTATTTTTAAAATCGGTGATTTCGTGAAATTTTCTGGTCCCACTTGACGTGGCTTGACTCAACATCAAGTTAAAATAACACAATTCAATATTCAAAGTTTTTTTTTTGCCGCCATACTACGTCATGAAAAAAATAAAGTATAAAATACCAAACAAGAAACAAAAAGTTACTTCTTTGTTTGGAAAAAGTCCTCGTTATGAAGCCGGTCTCCTTCCTCATTTAGGCATTCCATGGGCCACGAAAGACTTCATCTACGCGTTCGTGCGCCTCACGAACTGCTGGCACATCCTGAAAGGCTACTGGGAGAACCGCGACGGATCCAGCCTCGGCAAGATCGAGAAGGAACTCACGCCCGAGTTCCGCGCTTGCTACGTGCGCTGGGAGAAAGAGACCATCGACCTGGCCGCCCAGCTCACCCGCGTCTTCTACAACCTCGACACGAACCTGAACTGCCCGGCGACGAACGTTGCTTCCCCGCACACCGCCAACAACCTGATACCGCCCCAGGTCAACATCCTGAAGAGCTCCGCCTCGGAGAACGCGATCAAGAAGCCGCTGGAGAGCGAGGTGCTGGCCACGTCTGTGAGTCTGAGCAACACCTCGAAGAACGTCAGGGGGATTCTGCATCTGCCCAGTGCCGCCCCCGCGGAGACGGTCGACCAGGGCAACCAGACCTGCGCCGGTAGGATCGACTCTCGAGTTAAAGACTCAGACTCCACTAAGAGGTGACTTTTTAGATTTTTTTCTAGGCGATTTCGGCAAGGAGGGGTTTGGCTCGGAGGAGGAGGACCGAAGGATCTACATGAAGCCGGGCAGTTACTGCGTGCCGAAGAAGAGTTCCAACGAGACGGTGCAGAACAGTCCGAGGGCCATTGAGTTTTTGGAAACGGCTCAGAACGTCAACAAGGCCAGGGACAACGTGAACGAGAAGTATTGGATGAACATGAATATCGGTAAGTTTTGCTCCGGGATAAACAATTTCGGTGAGTGATAGTTTTGGTTGGTTATTTTAGCCAACAAAAACTCGGTCCCCAGTCTGGACCCGGTCGGCAACCAGCAGGACCCCAACGACGTCCTGGACAAATCCGACAACATCGTCGACATCGACCTGAACCTTTCCTCTCACTTAAACGTGCACGAGTGGCTAATCAGCAACAATTTCTCGCAATTTTCCTCGGAAAGCTCCCCGCAAACGCCGCCGCAGGACCTGCGCCCCTATTTCCTCGACCCCGGCGTCCAATACGATGCCGCCGCCGAAGCCCAAAAGTCCCCCATCACGCTGCTGCAACGCGGCGGCGGCGGCGCTGCCAAGTCGTCCTCCCCGACGGAGGTCGGCGTCGGCAACAGGGCGGCGGCCGGTCACAGGAAGAGGGCGGGCGCCCCGGGCGGACGGAAGGCGCCCGCCTGCTACGAGACCAAGAGCGGCGTGTCGGAGCTGGGCGCCGCCATTCTCGAGAAGATCGTGATGGACTTGATCGAGCTCGCGTTTGGAGATGGGCTGCTGATGGAGATTAAGGTAAGCGAAATTTTTACCGGTACATGGAAAACGTCAGTACACTTTTGTGACGTTTTACTTCATTGCCATGGCAGTAAATCACCGTTTCTGCTGCTGACGAGTAGTTTTTTTCTAATTTTTCTACAACCTGGTTGAGAAATGGAATAATTTGGTTTAGGATTTGTTGACAGTATTTTTTTATTGCACAATCATTCTTATAAGATATGCATTCTTTAATGTAACCTTCTGCTACACTACTTAATTTCCACCCACCATGGCCACCAGGTGACGTCGCGACGCGTCACACTATGGTCAAAAAGCGTTTTGCGGAAAAAATTCAATAACTTTTTTATTACATATAAGGGTGATTCTACAAAAGTTGGGCAACTTTTGACCTCATTTTGTTTATATAGTTTTCGGAGAAAATTAAACAGTATTTTGTTATGAGAACATGGATAATATAATAATTTCTGAAATATCTGTGTTTTCTAAGTTTGAATGCAAGGTAAGTGACGAGTATACCAGGGTACTAATAAAATACATAATTTATTGGAAAATATAAGATTTATTGCAACTTTAAGAATATTATACATTAAATATCTTAAAATCTGGCTGGTGTACCAAAACCCATGGATTTTGGGTATACCGATATCTCAATTATTAGACCCACACCAAATTTATATGAGTTTATAATGACATTAAATAAACAAGTTCTGCGCAAGCAGAATTTAACTTGAAGTTTGCGAAAAAAAGATAACCGAAACATCGAACATGGAACTGATGACACGGTACTGATGAATGGGATACAAATTTGAGATTATAATTCGAAATTAAGTATTTTACTGATATTTTTTATTAGTGAATGCTACTTATATATACTTATAAACGTAAGAAAATAACTACTCACCACAGTACTGAAATTTTGATTGGAAGTTCCAATTTGGAACTACGTGCATTCACCACAACTTCGCCGCTTGCATTGTTTTCAAGATGAATGTCGTGCAAAGGGCGGGCTCTGTAGGTAATTTTGTACCAACACTTGAGTTAAAACGAGGACTTGACGTTTAAACTTCAATATTTCGCAGGAATTTTGAATTTTAACATTGGACACATAACTGACTGGTAAAAGTGAGTACAAAGATTATCAATTTTTTAAAAATTGCTATTATTCGAATCTATTATAAAATATGAAAAATACATTATTTATTGTTTTATAGTTTGTAGTAAAATTTAAAAATTTAAGATAAATTGAATATATTTTAAAATAAAATCACTCAAATATTTGATTCAGGAGTTGTGACACGCCAAGGTACTGATGTTTTGAATATTTATTATGTTTTTCTACAAACGTGATTTTGAAAAAATATATTAAAATTGGGTGGACAAGTTAAAAAAAACCTGGATCTTTTGTAATATACTGAAATATTTACAAAAAATATTAAAATACCTACTCTATTGACTGATGACAGCAAGTTGTCCAACTTTTGTATAATCACCCATAAATTTTAATTTTTTCTTTTTTTAATGTGTTAAATAGGAGTTATTACTTATAATTAACTATATTTTAATCACAAAAACTTAACTTTTTTTATTTTTTAAATGCGTTTTAAATGGTCCTAGTGCATCAATTGAGGAAAGAATCAAAAACCTTTTTTATTGCAAAGAAATTTAAGACTTAATAGGTATAATTCACTATATTTTAATAAAAAAAATGTCTTTATTTTTTTAAATGCCTTTTTTAGATGTCCGCGGTGAAACGGTTGCGAAAATAATTCAATAACTTTTTTATTGACAATAAATACATACATATTTTTTTATCTATCTTAACTAAGCATGCTAGCTTAACTAACATTTATTTCATTAATAATTCCTTTACTTCTTCTAAAACATTGAAATATTTTTAATAATTAATAAATTCAACTAAAACTTATGAGCATAGAAATTCTTGAGTGCGTAGACAATGTCTTAGGTACGAGCGCTCGCGACTTAGCCATGCAGCGCGATAAATAAAAATTCATAACTTTTTCATTTGTGCTTATATGCAGCTAATTTTGTGTGTACTTATAAAGTAAAGTTTACTGAACAACCTCATGTAGATATCAACGTGGAAATCGGAGACAATCGTAGTTAAGGTAGTTGTCGTGCTGTAAGCATACCATCAGAAAATTTTAAATTTTTGTATACTAAGGACATGACAATACAATTATCCTTAAAATTTAAAGTCGATTGACCGTCTTTAACCCGAGATAAGTTCAATTAAAAATTGGATAATTAACATGGATTGTATACTGTCCGCCTTTGCCCACTTTTTGTGGTTTTTCAATTCAAGCACAAACACAAAAATTATTTTAACTATAGTTATATGTTTCTAATAAATTACCACAACGAATTACACAATTATTGCCAGTTTAACCTGTTCAACACCATGCATGCAGTGCAGCCAACATAAGCGCGCGAAATACAGTGCCCTGGGTATGCGCATGTGTGTAACGCTATTTTACTCGAGTTTTACTTCATGTAGAGTAAATAATTATTGCATACTCAAAAATGATTTAGGTTAAATGCAAAATGAGTAAATCAATTAATTTTAATGCACTATTTAGTTAATTTTTAAAAATTACCAAATATTGAGCATAATTTCGAAAAAACTTACTGCGTATATATACGCTTTCTGTAGTTCTGTACCAGTTTCTTAGTTATAAAAAAAACTGTCAGAAACTTTAAAAAAACTAACAGTCTTTTAATGTATTTTTGCTGAGTTTAAAAAAAAATAATTAAAAATTTTTGACCGTCCAATTGTTTATAAATAACCGTTTTAAGTTCAACAATGGCAACGCTGTACGCGAGTATAGATATTATTTCCGCAGTAAATTCAAACAGACTGATTCAGTCTCCAATATATCTATTGGTTGAGCATAAGCGACGTTGCCGGATTAAAACTTATGAAAATATTTGAAAGTATTACGTAAAAGTAACGTCTCCAGGGTACACTCTTGCGAAAAAATTATGAATCACTTAGCTACAAGCTCGTATACTTTTACGGTGCTTATAATCTAAAAAATTTTGACAATATTGTACCACGACAACTACCTTAAATGCCTGAATTCTTTTTTTCTTAATTTTAACAATATGTCTTTAAAACGTTATAACTTTTAATTTTTATTTTTTTATTCAAATAGGAATTTTTGTATATGTAGATTATTTATGCCTATATAAATTCTGTTTTCTCTTAATTTTAACAATGTGTCTTTAAAAAGTTATAACTTTAAATTTTTATTTTTGTATTCAAATAGGAATTTTTGTATATGTAGATTAAGAAGGTGTACTTTAAACTTATTAAAAAAAAATTTTGTTCGATTAAAAGATAAGTTTAATTTATTAATTGTTATGAATAAAACAACGTATCCTATAGGATTAATAACACTGTCGGCTGTTAATGTGATTGTGCGTTCGGGGCGTTCGTCATCTTCAATGTCTTCACGACCATCTTGGAAACTCTTATACCACTTGTAAACTCTTGTTTTACTTATAGCAGACTCACTATAGGCCTTTGTTAACATTTTACAGAATTTATTGCATTTTTTAAGCAAAATTGGATACAAATTCTTTGATCCATTTCTTTTAACGAACGAAAAATCGCCGAGATCATAAAACACGTCTAACCTTAGCGGCTGCCACAGACAAAGTAAACAATGAAAACAGTTTTTATCATACTACGGGGGCATGTATACCAACATAATAAGGAAAATTTTATGACAACCGGACCCTCCGAACCCGCGAAATTTAACAATTCCCGTTATTTTCTGAACCCACCTCGTATATATTAATATGTCGCAAAAGGGGACGACAAATACATTTCACTGTCATATTATGACAGTGAGGCGTATTTGTCGTCTCCTGAAGAATTTTACAAATGTAGAATACAACATATTAGAACGTAACTGACATATTTGGAAATATTCTCATATTACTTAGAAGATTATTCTTAAAATCAAATTTTGCTATCAGGGATGCAAGTCCAGCCAAATTGATTTTTTTCTTTAATTTATTCAGGGTGTTTAAATTTATACAGGGTGATTCCAATATCTTTGAATTTTGACCTGATACAGCTAAACCAAGCATGGATTTTTAATCTACGACCAAAAATTAAGTTTACGTGTCCGAGCGGTTAGCTGTGATATTTTCACCTCCCTACAGTGTAATTAACCTATTCATAAGAAATTATTAGGAATTAATTAATGGATAATCCTTTGCTTTGTATTGTATTTTATAAATTAATTAATAATCCCTTGTTTTGCATCTTTAAAGGTAAAAACAGTTATAGAGAAAGCAAATTAACTTAGACTATTGTATTTTGTGATTTTTCAAAATGAGTATACTTTCTGCGTTTCTTTTCAGTATTTAACAGAACGATTTTTAAATAGTGATAAAGATGAAGAAATAAAGGAATTATTAATGGAATAAATGTTAGAATTCAAATTATGTTTATTTATTTTTTAAAGTGTGCTTAGTTAAGATAGTTAAAAAAGTAGGTATTTATTGACAATAAAAAAGTTATTGAATTATTTTCGCAATCGTTTCACCGCGAACATCTAAAAAAGTAATTTAAAAAAATATATTATGGATTTCATACTTAAAGTAAAAATTTTTTTTTTATTAAAATATAGTTAATTATACTTATTAAGTCTTAATATTTCTTTGCAATAAAAAAGTTTTTGATTATTTTCTCAATTGATGCACTAGGACCATCTAAAACGTATTTAAAAAATAAAAACCGTTATGTTTTTTGATTAAAATATAGTTAATTATACGTAATAAGTAAAGTAAAATAAAATAAAAAAATTATTGGGTTTTATCTGCAATTGACGCTCTATGAACATCTAAAAACGCATTTAAAAATTAAAAACCTTTTTATTTTTTGATTGAAATATAGTTAATTATACGAAATAATCCATAATACAGTAAAAAAGAAAAAAAATATATTTATTTTTAATAAAAAAGTTTATTTATTATTTCTGCAAAACAGAGCTTTATGATAATATAAAAATAATAACTCCTATTTAACACATTAAAAAAAAGAAAAAAAATAATATTTTTTTGTAATAAAAAAGTTATTGAGTTTTTTCCGCAAAGCTCTGATACCATAGTGCGTCAGTTCCTTCATTTACAAGGAGTCTAGCAGAAGTTCTTCTTAAGCTCAGTTACACTTAAGTGTAATTCGCTTCTGAAGATGCCAACATCATTGGCAAAAAGTACTTTAAGCACTTTGTGTTTTGTTTTCGTGTTGGGGAATACTTCTAATGTTTGAGAAGCTTTATTGTAAAATAGAGATCCTAATTCTTCTTTATCGTCCATCTTCATATTTCAATTTTGTCAAACCTACACTCCCCAAATATGTCAACCAACAAAACTATCCATAAATAATGAAATACTTTATTAAAATTGATCTATTTGTGCATTATCTATGATAAATATTTTACCTTCATCCCCAAGTATTCTTTATTTAAGTAAAATTTTTGTGAAGGTTCCTTAAGTTGCCTTAATTTTGCCTCTTCAAATACGCCCACAGTTTAATGAATTTGCTGATATCCACTCCATGCTTGACATTAAGTTGTGAGTTGTGACCACATTGTCGAAGGAGAAGTACCCATCAATTTCTCTGTCCTAGCATAAGCCAAGTGCTCTTTGAACCTTACTTGTATGGATCGTTTAGTTTGTCTAACATATTTCTTGTCACAATCTTTACAGTTTTATTTCGTAGATCCCCCCTAATATTCAAAAGTCGAGGATCTACGAAATAAACTGTCAAGATTGTGACAAGAAATATGTTGGACAGACCTTAAACCAAACCAATATGACTATCTTAAAGAGTATATAGTTTGGAGCCAAATGATGCGCCCTCTCTGAACTTTTTCTATCATGTACCTATTTAAGGTACTTCTGTGGTTATGCTGTTATGGTTATGTGTTATGGTACGAAATATGATATTCTACTAAAAGTAACTGTCATTCTTTAAAATTGAAGAATCCATAAATTCTATTAAACAATACATGCCTACCATCTGAAAGATTATGATTCGGTCAAAGTGTAGTTTATAAATTATTATTATAATACGAACCTTACAAACAATACACAATAAAAACACAAATACACAAACCCTTACAAAAATGCGATAACTACGGATATAATTGAACGTCAAAAAGGTAAAAAACGTCGAAACGTCAAAAAATTATAAAATCCGCGCCCTCTCTTGGCTTGGCTAATTATTATAATACTGTCCCGACATCCGACATAAGATATTTATCTATTGGTTTGGTCTAGGGGACAGACTAAACCATCCATACAAGTAAGGTTCAAAGAGCACTTTGCCCATGCTACACAGATTTGAAAGGACGGAGTAATCGAGTGTTGCCCAACATATACTTGCTGATGGTCATAGACTAGGATTTGACAACCTTAAACTTATTGAGGAAGTTAGGAAACCAAGTCTGCTATATAGATAGGATTTAGTTACACTTCGTTTCTGAATATGCCAACATCGTTGGCGAAAAGTACTTTAAGCACCTTGTGTTTTGTTTTGGTGTTGGGGAATATTTTTAATATTTGCCTAAAGAAAATGCTTTAAATCAACAAAATAATCACCAGCACAAAAAACGATTGTCCTCGTGCGAGAAAATGACGTCTCATGATAAATTTGTCTTCATTAAACTATTATCTTTACCAAAAGTAGGTTCTGCTTTTGTTTGCATTCGACGAGACATTTGAAAATTGTCTTGTTGTTGTTTTTTAGAACGAATACTCTCCAGTGGTGGACATGGACGTGATTTTGAAGAAGATCAGGACGCACGACTACGTCTACGTGAGCGAGGCGATCCGAGACCTTCGCTATTATCTGTATTACTCGGCGTACTTTTCAGAGGTATGTCTAAATGTTTACTCACGCCACCCGTTACATGTTACGTCTATGTTTACCTACTACACACACATTGTGTGTGTTTAATATTGTTTTCTTACTACCTCGACTCAAAATACGTTGTTTCGTCCCCGATTCCACGGCAGAAAGTTTACGTTTCTTGCATTGGTCAAGCTATACGCGCACACTCTAATAGCGGGAGTAAAATTTTTTTAGTCGTGTGCTTAACATTCAAATTTCGTACTGCCAACATGAGAAACACAAAAATATGACAGTTTTAAACCATAATTTTGCAATTATAACAACAAATAAACAATTTATGTTTTTACTTTTTTACTTTATAGGTATGTTGTTTTAAGTGTTTAATCCCAGTAAACACACATACGTTAATTAAACGTTTTTTTAAACCGTAACACCATTTTGTTTTTACGTATATTTATAACGTACAATCAACTTTAAAATGTCGCAGATTATAACGTTTAACAATACTAATAAATAAACGTTTAATTTTGGCGTTAAGAAAACGATCATTACACGTTTCGAAATGTTACATTTAGAACGTTTAATATACGTCTATTAATAACGTAAATTCATGATTGTTTTTGCCTCTTTTATAACGTTTATCCATACGTTATATTTAAATTCATATTAATGTCCTTTCTAACGTTAGTTCTATAATAAATAAAACTCCACAAATACTTGTTTTTACAACGTATTTATTAAACGTTCGTTTAACGTTAACTGCAACATGAATACAGGTTGTAGACAATGATTTTTTTAAATGAAGGAAAGGTTTTGGAGGTATCTCCAGTCGTCTTCAGGTGAATCATTTTTATCGTTCGCTGGAAAATTTAGCTGCTTCTAAAACACAAAAAAGAAATTTGTTAAACGATGAAAAATAGACTAATTTTTCGAAACACCCTATAAGATTAAAAAAATGGCTTAAAAAGCTTGTTTTCAGCTGGCTTTGTTGTTCAACAGATTAAATTCAAAAATTTGTATTGTAGAATATCGTTGGGCTGAAATTTGATTTAAAAAAACGGTATTTTTAGCGCACCCGGTATAATAAGAGTGTTCTAAAAATACTAATTTACAATACGTACACCGTACACTGTACGGTGTACGTATTGTAAATTAGTATTTTTAGAACACTCTTATTATACCGGGTGCGCTAAAAATACCGTTTTTTTAAATCAAATTTCAGCCCAACGATGTACGGCGTACAGGTCTTGTTGAATAGATCTATAACCAAAGCAAATGTATCTTATCGAGCCAACTTGTGTGAAGTGTGATTTTACTAGAGAATTTTCTAGTATAATCACGCCTAATTCCAATTTACAGTAAAAATACACGACCGCTCCTAAATTTGGAAATATTGGACTCTTTCCACAATTTTAACATCTGTACATTTATGATCTAAATCAGTTTAATGTTAACTTAATGTTAATTTGTGTGAGTTAATATTTACCTACCCCACTATACTTAATAAACATTGAAAACACGATTTTACTAGAGAATTTTCTAGTATAATCACGCCTAATTCCAATTTACAGTAAAAATACACGACCGCTCCTAAATTTGGAAATATTGGACTCTTTCCACAATTTTAACATCTGTACATTTATGATCTAAATCAGTTTAATGTTAACTTAATGTTAATTTGTGTGAGTTAATATTTACCTACCCCACTATACTTAATAAACATTGAAAACACGTAGAAAATGTCTTTAAAATTAACATATTAACTCTCATATTATTCTAGGACACTGCACAAATTATAATAAGAACAAAATCACACTCCCCCGAAAATTAGGAAATAAAGCAATGAATCTGAGTGATATTAACAGTGTGTATGTTTTAAAACAATTACATTAAAGTACTTACCAAAAGCAGGACGAATCTTACGAGCATAAAACACGTAAAAAAATGCACCTTTTGATAGCAAAATCAAATTGAAAACTGACGTAGCGAGCAGCTATGGCATGGCAGCCTGCCATTGGCAGCGCCAATCACATGATGTGTATTCGGCCAATCAGATTGCGTTCTTCAGTTATGCGTTTTATATGGTTATGTATAAACGTATTAAATACGTTTATTTAAACGTATTAAGTACGTTTGTTTAAATGTATTAAATACGTTTGTTTCAACGTATTAAGTTCGTTTGTTTAAACGTATTAAGTACGTTATTTTTAACTATTACAGTAACTGTCTAGTTTAAAGAATGTTAATAAAATAATGCACTTCTTAAAGCAACATTTGTGTATGTGTATAGTGTTCTGCCTAAAGCTTACTGTATGACCATTGACTATAGAATTACTTATGCTATTCTTTAGAATGTAATTAAAAAATTTCTAAATTTCATTTAATGTTGTTTATATATATATGTATACCTATGTATATTGTTTATGTATGTATACATGTTGCATCAGTTTATTAAATATTAAACGTTATAAATTATTTTTAAACAAGTTATCCCATTTTAGAGAAAAAACGATGTGGATGAAAGTAGGTATATTTGTATTTGACAAAAACCGTTTTATTAACGTTATAAAAATATACTTTTGTAAAAATGAAAAAGTTAAATTATTCATTTAACATTCATTCATAATTCATTTTTTTAACAAACTAAATTCTTAGATTTTATACCTTCAGAATTTAAATAAGAAGTCATATTGTCTACATGTGTAAACTAAGCAAAAATTTCACAAAATAAATATATATATAATATAGTATATAAAAAGTACTTTTAAAAGTGTTTGATGGAGCGTGTTGAATATAACATAGTATAAATGTAAAAAGAAAGAGCTGCCTGCACAGTTCATAAAATAATTACTTCAAACGTTATTTTCTCATTAATATTTGTGAAAAAAAATTGTGGGTTGAAACGTAATTTAAACATTTAAATGTATGGTTCACTGAAAACCTTAATACATTATTGTAACGTAAAAGTTAGCCACTATTAAAAAGCACATTTAAATTAACGTTTAAATTAAACATTTAAATATATGGTTGACTGAACACCTTAATACAACGTTATTGTAACGTAAAAGTTAGTCACTATTAAAAGCATATTTAAATTAACGTTGTTTTAACGTTTAAATTAAACATTTAAATATATGGTTGACTGAACACCTCAATACAACGTTATTGTAACGTAAAAGTTAGCCACTATTAAAAAGCATATTTAAATTAACGTTGTTTTAACGTTTAAATTAAACCTTTAAATATATGGTTGACTGAACACCTTAATACAACGTTATTGTAACGTAAAAGTTAGGCAATATTAAAAAGCATATTTAAGTTAACGTTGTTTTAACGTTTAAATTAATTGGTGTAAATTTATACCAATATCAAACCGTTGCTTTTTCCACGTAAAACGTTTTATTGACCTTTCACACGTTTTAAATACGTTTAAAAAACGTGTATGTGTTTACTGGGATGGTACTTTTATTTGTTATAAAGTAGTAATTTGTTAATTAAAATAGAACGTTTTATTTTTACTGTATTGGCACCGCTGAATTCACGGCCTACTGTTATTTATTTATCAAGCTCTTCAAATGGAGATAGGTACATAAATACACATTTAATTTTTCCCCGTATTTTCGGCCGGGTTGTATTTTCGGCCGAGGTAGTAAGAAAAATAGTATACACTACACGGGCAGAAAGTGTGAGAGTCCTGAACTGCGCGCCATGATGCCCTCGGCTTCGCCTCGGGCATCATGGCGCGCAGTGCAGGAATCTCACACTTTCTGCCCTTGTAGTGTAATATACTATTTTCTGCAGTTTGGCACAGCGGTTTTGTAATGGGTTGGGGACATGTAATTTTTTATTGCTTATTTATTATCATGTTTGTTATCAAAGGTTTTTTCCTATGTCTCTCAAACAATTTCTGAGAAGGCTAACATAGTTTTCAATACAGGGTGAAATGTATAAACAGATATTATTTTAAAACTGAAAAAAAATTAAAAATTAACTGTTCTTCAATCTTATAAATGTTTACTTTCTGACACTTAATTAATCCACTGTGAAATTGTTTCCGCACTCTGTTTTGTTCTTAATTTCTGCAGTTATTCCGTTTTCTTAATTCATCCAAATTGGCAGGTCGTGTTTTATACACTTTGAAACCTCTTCTTCCGATCCACCTGCATGTGTGGAAAGGTGTCATTTAAATAATTCCGTACAGGAAGAGCATAGTTTGGTGGTGCACCGTCTTGTTGAAGCCTTTCATCGGGTAGATTAGGTTCAAATGGATTTGGAAGTAACTCTGCTAAAGTGGGACAACTTGTTCTCTTAGCATTTCCAGATATCTTGCCCGGTTAAGCATTTCAATGAAAATAGATCCCATCACATGATCACCAACAATACCAGCCCTGAGGATGTTGGGTATGACTTTGTCGCATCCAGTGTGGGTATTTACTGCCCAATATCTGCAATTCTGCCATTTAGAAGAAATTTTGATTCATCAGAAAAAATATTATCTGCGGAAATAAAATTCCTGTTTAACATATCCAGCATTTGCTTCCATCAGAATCACGGTCAATCAATTCTTCTACCTGTTATGGTTTATATGGATGCATTTTTTTTTACACATCTTTAAACAGTCATTTTTACGTGCAACCTGACGCGTAGAAAATGTTGAATCCTACTGAAAAGCTAATAAAATATTTACTTTCATATTTTCTTCAATAAAATGAGGCGTCCTGCGTATTGATTTAACGTTTCCATATTCACGAAATTGTGCATGTATTTTAGACACAATTGCCTAAGAAAGTGATGGTAAATTTGGGTGCTTTTCATTAAAAAGGTTTGCAACTTGCTCTTGTGACCAATCATCATTAATATTGCTATTCGCAGACATTCTGTTAAGTGTCGCATTTTTTGACTAAAATATTATGTGTTACAGCACTTCGATCAAAAAAAATACTTCAACAAGTAAAACTTTAAATGTTTCACTAATAATAAAAGTTTAAACAATGCAAAAAATGTAATCAATGCAAACCGGACTTACCCAAAAAGGCATTAACAAAAGTACACAGGTGCTATGTAAAATGTAAATCAAGCAAAAAAACATGAATAGCTAAATAGCGAAACCAAAACACAAAAAACTAAATCATAGGATAACAATTCCTACTTGTAATTTCTAAATAATCACCCTGTATTGAAAACTATGTTTACTTAACTTATATATTGGGTATCGTCGTTCAATTTTCGATGAAAAAAAGTATATATACATACAGTTCATTTTTTTTATCTGGACTCGTGTTTTTTTGGTAGGTTGGTGGCTTATGCCAGTTTGACTTAGTATTTTTAGTATTTGAAAATGGTACTTCTGCTAAAGAATTAAATAATTAAATACTTTGATACTGCCAAATTGACAATAATATTTATTATTGATGATTTACTTGTCAAATAAAAAGATAATTATGCCAAATATAATAGCAACGAATTCGAATGTAAAGGCCCTTTTGAGAGTAAAACTTAATTTTGATGAAATTATGCCAAATACCATGTGTGATGTAATATTTACACACACAATGGAAGAAAAAGTACATCGCCTTATGGACATTTTTGGAGTAAAAAAGTAACGAATTTTTTTTAAATATTACATGACACATTATTTTCACATTATTCACCATTGACAACATTTACGTTCACAAAAAATTTTTATTTCTTTTATATAAATTCATTTCAAAGCGAAGATTATTATCCGCTGGAATACTTTCTCTTCTGGGCCGTAAAGCAACCTATATTTAACTACTTTTTTATATGATTTTACTCATCCAAGCACCACCAAAGCCAAATTAATTGCATTTTTAACTACGAACTTCGACAACTCAACTTGACAACTGCACAATGTAACCTACAAAAATTTATACATAACCACAATTAGATTTATAACTAGCTTAGTTTGTTTTATCAATGCGACCAACTTGAAAACTGTATTTACCAACCAAAACCCTAAATTTGCAACGTTGCCGCAGTCCAGATAAAAAAAATGAACTTATACTTACTTACATATATTACCAACTTTTTATGTAGCACATGGAAACGAAGGCGGAAATGCTGAAACACAAGCTGGAAATAATGTTGAACGAGCATTTTCCCGAGTGCGACTTTCAGGAGGTCAAAGGGGACGTACACGAAAAAATTGGGCCGTTGAAACTAAAAAAAATGTTTGACCAAAACGATCCCCCCGAATTTATTTAGTTTACACCTTAGAGTACATAATACATTACACCTTAGAGCATACAACACAACATTATTTAAAACTTTTTTAAACTGATTTATACAATTTTATGAAATTTATTATTATCTATTATAAAGTAAGTGATTAAATATCCAAAATGCAAAGTTATTAATGACTTATGGTATGTTATTTAAATTATGGTATTTTTAAGAGAAATGTTTAATGTTTAAGATGTGGTGGCCGTTTTGTAATTAAGAAAAAAAATACAAAAACACTGTATATATTTTGTTAAAAAATACTACAAAAATACGTTTAATCAAAGTTAATTTTAGTATTACTTAATAGGGCTTAATTTATTCAGTAATTGTTAGTTTAAAGTTACCATTTGTATTTTTGATAATAAATAAAGTGTTTGAATTTAAACGTTTGTTTTTTTTTATAACAATTCAAAATTAATTGAAGAACTGGAAAGAAAATTTGCCTTATTTGGTCACCAGGTATTAGGGCCGAGTACATTTTAAATTCCTTTTATTAGATACATTAAAATTACTTTTATCCGAAATCGGCAGTTAAGTAGAACTTTACTGCCGATTTAATACGAGTATTATATGCAACCCATTATACATTTTAAGATGTGTCTACAACTAAATACTATTAAAAAAAAGCACCTTTGCGGAGGTAGATTGGACCCTTTTATAAAATGTTGTTTAATAAAAATAAAAAGGAAAGACACTGACACACTTCCTACATTCAAATAACATTTGATTTGATCATCAAATGACATTAGATTTAATCATCAATATTAATTATTAGTATTAAGTAAGTAATTACAGTGTTGCCTAGTAAATTAAATTAAAAATCGCCGCGGCGGGCAAATATATCATAACGGTCGGAACAAACAGTATCCATAGACCCTTCCTACATTTCAACGACATTTGATTTGATCATCAAATGAAATTTGATTTTATCATCAATATTAATTATTAGTATTAAATGCGATTTCGAATAAAATTTAATATGCACCTCGGCGTTAAAGTCATTTTTTTAGCACTCAGGTGGTTATTTGGCTCGGTAAATAATTTCCACATTCGTGATAAAAAATACGACTTTACTGCCTTGATACATAAATAAATATTACTACCCATGATTTTGTATCATCTAGATTGGCAAAAAAACACACTGTGCGGCGGCAAGCTCCAAAAATTACTACGATTTTCTTTGGTAAAAGTTGACTGTCCGAAGATTCCACAGCTCTGTATGCTGACACTATCATAGCTTTTTTTGGTGTCTAGCGCTCCGACTTTATCTTAAAAATTGTGAAAGGCTTTCCATATCTGTAAAATCGTTTAAAATAAGTTCTTCAACAAAAAGTTAATCGTAATACTTATTTCAAAATGTCCATATTTTCCTGCAGATTAAGACACGTTTCATCGAAATTTTTGTCCATAAAGTGTAAGGCGTTAAACTTTTCGATAGCTCAGACATATCAGAGTAAATAATCTTCAGTTATTGTTTCCACATTTTTTCTGTTGAACCAAATTTGAAGTGCTTGATATTATTTTTCGCAGCGATCCTTGGTCTTTTTTGACAATAAATTTAAGCGCTTCAGCACTTTCTTCCAATTTTAAGGATCATTATTATAATAGTCGTATTATATCCTATTATAACCCTGAAAACTTGCCCTTTCTTCAAAAAACATAAACAGCTTCAGTTGGTGGAAAATTATAATTTCGAATAATAATATTAACAAAACCATGAAAATAATCTTTTGTACAGGAAATTAAAACCACGATATAAAATAATCAAAATTTAAGTAACATTGGAATTTATTAAATTTTTTGGTTGCACCTAAACAGTTAAAAAAATAAAGTACGTATTAACTTTTTTAACTTTAATGGCTTAAATAATATAAAGTGTGTCCCCGGATTGACTTTCGATTTCGGCAGTCACGGCCTGCTTGACCTAAAATGAATTTTCACATTCAGTTTCAAAGATCCCTTTTGAACTGTAATTTGGTGAACATTTATTTGTAGGTCAAGCCAACTTTTTTTTTGTTGGTATATTACACTTATCACAAAATCAATTTAATCCGGGACACATTGAATAGTAAGTACTATAATTAAAATTGGTATAGGCATTGCCTATTAGGCAATCTGAAAAAAAAGTTGGAAATCTAAAGTTTACTTATTTCTTTTGTAGGGTATCTTTCTAAAAATCCTATATTGTCATGTCTTTTTGAATAAAAGGAAGTTTTGTACCATCTCTTGAAACTTAACAATGGAAATCTTTATTAGGTAAGTTTGAATTCAAATACTGGTACCTGTGGAAATCAAAATTTGGCTTGCTATGTTAATTTATAGGTTAACAATATTATTTTTGTTTTCCAGATTAATGGCTTTTATATTATTTTTATTGCTACCAATTAAGGTGGTAGAATCTCATAAATTGGTCCATTTCAATTGCTCAAATCACAATGTAACGGAGTTTATTATCCCTTATTATAATTATTTATATATTGAAGATTGTCAATATTTTAATTGGTCCAATAGAATTTTTTCCAATTTTTCTCAAATTGATTTTGATATATTGACTTTACGAAATGTTAACTTTACTGATCCAACAGATTTAGATTTTTCAGTTTTTTCGACAGTAACTGAATTAAAAATTAAAAATACAAATTTACAGACCATTCCCAGAGGATTAAAGGAACATCTTAAAACTTTACACATTTATATAAATAATAATATTGCTTTTAATTCTACTGAAATGAAAAACTTAAAGGTTATTTCTATAGGTGAAATTGTATTTAAAAGTAGCGAGTTTAATTTTAAAAACCGTTCAATTATATCATTGGACTTTAGTCATAATAAAAACATACAATTACAAAATTACTCATTTGCCTACTGTACAAATTTATCAAGAATTGTTTTACAAAGCTGCAACTTAGACAGCATACCAGGAACAATATTCAGAGGATCGGAAAATCTTACGTATATTAATTTACACGATAATAAAATTGAAACGTTAGCAAAAAACTTGTTTTACGGTTTGACAAAGTTAGAGGCACTTAATCTAGACTATAATACAATAAAAAGTTTACCCAGCGGAATTTTTCATTCTTTAAAAACCCTTAAAATCCTTGACCTAAACAATAATGAATTAAAAAGTTTACCCAGTGGAATTTTTGATTCTTTAAATAAACTTAAAGAACTTAACCTAAATAATAACGTTTTAAAAAGTTTACCCAGTAGATTTTTTGATTCTTTAAAAAACCTTAAAGACCTTCACCTAAACAATAATGTTTTAAATACTTTACCTCATGGAATTTTTAATTCTCTAGAAAATCTTATTGAACTTCACTTAGAAAATAATCAATTAAAAAGTTTACCCAGTGGAATTTTTGATTCTTTAAAAAACCTTGAAAAACTTTACCTAAACAATAATGTTTTAAAAATTCTACCTAATGGAACTTTTAATTCTCTAGAAAATCTTATTAAACTTTACTTAGAAAATAATGAATTAAATAGTTTACCCGGTGGAATTTTTGATTTTTTAGAAAAACTTTTAATCCTTAACCTAAGAAATAATTTTTTAACAAATTTACCAATAGGGACTTTCGAATATTTAAGAACCCTCGATCGACTTGATTTGGGATATAATTTTTTAACTTCGCAAAATTTGAGTATGGATATTTTTTTAAGCTTATGGAATTTGAGATACATTAATTTGGAACATAATTTACTTAACAAGTCAACTGATGAACTTAATTTTATTGATAAGTTTCAATATCTACCTAACATTAATGAAATAAATTTGTCCAATAATCAAAATTTAAGTTTTAATTTATGTTTGTTGTCACCTGTGCGGGAATTAAGAACATTAAATTTAAAAAATACCAATTCATCCAATATTTTTGATGAGAAATTTGAGAATTGTAGATTATCAAAATGTACGGATATCGATTTGTCATACACTAAAATTAATATAATTAGCGTGAGTATTTTTTTATATCTAAATTTTATTAATTATAATTATTAAAGCGCAATGTTTTAGCTCAGCAGACTTTGGATCGCGGGATGTGATTTATATAATTTGGCAAACAACAACATAGAAATCATTGACACCCATTTTAGACCTAAATATAAAAAAATTATAAATTTAAATATGGATAATACAACTATCTCGTGTAACTGGAACAATTATGATTTTATTTCATCGGTTTCAATCATTCAACACACCGTTTATATACTTAATCATGAAACAATAAAATGTTCCAATAATGAAATGATGTATAATTTGACAAAAAATATAGAACATATTAATTACCCGATGTCCTCTATAATGGATGAAGGATACACTTGTCCTAAAAAATGCAAATGTTTTTGGTATCCGGTTAATTTTAACTTTATGGTGGATTGCTCAAATAGAAAGCTAAAGAAAATTCCTAAATTTTGGGCTCCAACTTATATTCCTAAGAGAGGTGAAAACATCGAAGTAAAAAATATATCGGTCGATTTGCAAAACAACAACATAGTTGAAGGTCCTTCTCAACATGATGGATATGATAATGTAACTAGTTTGATTTTATCTAAAAATGAAATAGAAAATATATCATGGATACCATCCAACATTCAAGTATGTACCTTTATAATACGTAAGTTAAAGAAAACATTAATAACATAATCAAATATTTTAGGTTCTCTATTTGGACCAAAATAAAATTTCATTCTTAAATGACCAACTAATTAATTCATTAACTAGATCTTCCATAAAGTCTCTTAAACTTGGAGAAAATCCATTTATTTGTGATTGTACAACTGTAAAACTAAAACAATATTTAAGCGGTATTTTTCAGGTAATTCCTTATTAATTGTAAAAAAATATTTTTGGGTCATAATACAGAATATTTTAGGTGGACAAAGAAAATATTAAATGTGATAAAACAAACATTACAATTATCAATGCCGACAATATTTGTGCTGACGAAAGTTTTCCTTGGGTTATTATAGTATTAGTATTAGTATTATTATTGTTTCTACTATCCCTCTTGGCGAGTTACTACAAATGGAAAAAGTACATCAAAATGTGGCTGTATTACAAAGGATGGTTGTTATGGTTTGCCACAGAAGAAGAACTGGACAAAGACAAGGTTTACGATGTTTTCCTTAGCTTCTCCCAAAAAGACGACGATTTCGTCCTTGGAACATTACTGCCCGCCCTCGAATCAGGACCGCATCCTTACAAGGTGTGCGTGCACTACAGAGACTGGATACCTGGAGTACTTATAACCGAGCAAGTCATCACTTCAGTAAGAGATTCCCGAAGAACTCTTGTGATAGTCTCTAAAAACTTCTTAGAGAGCTGCTGGACGAAAATGGAATTCCGAACCGCTTACACGCAGGCCCTCACCGAAGGAAGGACCAGAGTCATAGTTCTTGTGTATGGGGAAGTAGACATGACCCAGATTGATGGTGATTTGAGTATCTACATGAAAATGACTACATACATCAAGTGGGAGGATCCTTGGTTCTGGAGGAAGATGTTTTATGCGTTGCCGCACAGAAATAGAAATAACCCAAGTAGAAACACCATTGT